TATATATCAGAGCAGGATTTACTTATAAACCACTTAATTTCTATGTATTGTACATATCTAACTCTGAACCTTTAATTTTTACATATTTAATCTGTATGCATGAAGGGGAATATTAAGAAAATGAACATTTATATATATACCACTTAATTTCTATGTATTCACAAATATAACCCTTAAACTATAATTTTAACTTATATATGTCACTTTATCCATACATGAAAAATGTGTATATCACTTTTTAAAAATTAAATACAAAAAATAAATATACAAAACTTTTGAGTGATATAAATACAAAAAATAAAATTTAGGTGCTAAGTAGACGAATACATAGAAATTGAGGGGTAGGTATGTAAATTCCCCTTCAAAAAAATAAAAATTAAGAAAATCCACTATCGAAATGTGATGATGGTCGCAAATGCAAAATATGATGTAACAAATTTAACATTAGAGAAATAAAATAATTTTGTGCTGCTTCTATTAACTCTATTGAGAAATTGTAACAAAACATTTTCATATGATTTTCATCCTCTTTTTCTTGTTAACATTATTCAAGAAACTAATCAAAAGAATAAAATCAAAATTAAATATTATAATATAATAAATATATTAAATTAATTTATAATAATTTAAACAAGATAATAATAATATTTTCATTAATTTAATATATAGCACACTAGTTCATGTTTAAATTATAAATATTTTAAGTGGCATTTACATACATACCACCCAAGTTCTTTCCTATTAAAAAAAATATATAGATATTTTTTTAACTTATAAAAAGTTAAAACTTTTTTATGTACAAGATATTGTAGCATATATATTTAAATTATAATTTATTATTTTTGTCTATTTTTTTGTTATTGTTGAAGCCTTTTAAGACGTCAAGTCTTGTGTTGTACGTTAGTTCATACAAATCGGGGGGAGAAATATGTTATGAAGGTGGAAGAAGTAGATGTATTCTCCGAGCCTCAATGATGTGCTTTGGTTTCTGAAACACCTCCAACAGGGCAGTGAAGATGTACTAATCAGAAGATGGAAGGACAAGAAAAGTTTTTCTAGAGCCGATCCCCCATCCAATCCTCTTTTTCCCTTTTATAAATATACAAGAAAATATTAAAATACGAACGGTGTGATACAAATTCGGTCCATAATGACTTGACGAGATAATTGCGAGATGGCTCAAAATTAAGGATGTGTCATATGTATATCATCGATGCCAGTCTTGACTTTAGTATTCTTATATTTACGAGGAAGGTCGATCAAATGAGTTGGGCTGATAAGCCTGATTGGTAGATTCATTAGGTGGAATAGCCAAACCAGTTCGACAAGGTTCCCCAATTAAATTTGGCATGTTAGCCAAGTAATTGGTATAAGACATTTGGCACATATTACTTAATGCGTCACTCCGATGAGGGTCGTGTCTTCTAAGTACTGAGCCAATCAGACCCTTGAGACTTGCTAAACTCAAACTCTGGTCATAAAGGTAGATTTTTTGGTGCACATTTAGTTCTCTAATTTTCTTATTTCTTCCTATAATAACCATTAAAAATAATAAATAAACAAATAAACAAAAAAATAAAATTAGAATTAGAAAAATGTATTTTTATTTCAGTTTTGATGATTTGAATCAATCGTCTCGATTGAGTTTTCTTAGGTATGCGAACCAAAGGGAATGAATTGAAGACAGATTGAGAAATAAACATAGAAAAAAAAAGGAGAGTTAAGAGAGATCGAGAGCAGAAGAAGAAGGAGAAGTCATGTGGTTATTTTATCAGAGATTTGGTTCGATTTGGAACGTCGAGAGATCTGGTGTTAAGGAAAAAGATGACTAATGTGCATCTAGGGCAAGTGCCTGTGCTCTCGACGGAGTGACGATGTCAATGCCGAGTGCGGGGAGAAAGAATTGAGCAATACTTGCATACAATTTGTGCAGATGAAGGCATCAGCAAGCTAAAGCCAACGAAGAGGAAGAGCCGCTCGAAAGCCAAATTCAAAGGCTTGCAAGCATCATCATCTACGTGCTAAGAATAGACAACGGAGTCCTAACATTGGAAGACGAAGGCTCGTGCATGTGTCAGGACTCAGGAGCCGGATCTCGCTTGCAGAACAGGAGCAAGAGAGGTCCCGTGTGCATTAGAGCATTTGACTGAGATATTAAGTTGAGTTTTAATATTTTAATTAAATCATTTAATTGTGTGTGTGTGTATGTCTATATATATATATATATATATATATATATATATATATACTTATTTGATTAAAAACGAAAAAAACAAATCCTTAAGTTTATTATTTAAAAATATATATAAATTTAAGTGCATTTGAAAATATGATTGAAGCTGTTAAATCCCAATCAGAGGGAGTTAGAGATAAATATATGTGCAGAAAGATCAAGATAATTGAGGTAAATGCTAGTGTTTATTTATTTAAATTAATGAATCTAATATACATAATATGCAATAAAATATCAATAATTGGTTTAATTAAATAAGCTTGAAGCTGTGGAAGTTCAGTTTGAAGTAAAAAGGAAAAAGTTGAACCATTAAAGTACGACTCTTAAATTATAGAATCATTTTTGTCTCTCTTATGAAACAATTGTATGAATTTCTGTTCGTGCTTGATCAATGAAATTGATTCCGCTATTCCTAAATTTTATGAATCATTTCGATATGAATGTTTTTAGTAAAACATTTTAAAATGTTTTATGCATTATAGTAATAAATATTATATATTGAGTGATATGAAATTGTAAATAATATGAACTATATAAATTGATTGTATGATTATGCTTGACTATGATGAAATCACCACTTTATAGTATTATCGGGGGAACACTCACGTACCCATGCACATAAATGAAAAAAAATATTAATATTAAAGTACTTTAATTAGTATAAATTTTCTACAATGCTCATACGACGGTTGTACATATATAAAATTATATATATATGTTATTGGTTATATATATATATATATATGATGTAGTAAAACACTTGAATATTATGAAAAATCGTGAGGGAGCATATGCATAAACTATCAAATATTTTATACTGATTTATTAAAAATTTAACTCGCATATTATTTTTTTTTCATTGTGTCACTACAGTATAGAAGCGAGTATTCAATAGCTTTGGTTTGGTCACTATTATTTTAAACTAACATTTAAGATTTAATTTATTCATGAAAGGAAGAACAATTGGACATGCAATATTTATAGAAGATGTGAACTTGACCTAAGTTAAATTTATACCTGCTTTAATTTTAATTTCTATTGACTATTTCATTTATCCTTTTTAAATCATTAGTGTTATAGAAAATTTAATTTTCCACCGTCTTACCGTCTGCACTCGTCTTGGTTAATTTCAAGCCCTAGGGTGGGTCGTAACACTTACAACAAATTGGTGCAAGAAGAATAAGAGAGAAAAAAAAAAAAAAAACTTTTTGCATCAAACCAAATATGCTTATATTCTGATTCCTAAGTGGCCTAATTGGCTTTTTATAATGTTGAATCTTTTTAGAATATTGTGTGCCATGTTGTTCATGAGTTCACACAACCCAAGAGAAATCTGTGTTAGGAAGGTGGGGGAAGAGGATGGATGTACTCTCCAAGCCTGAATGGTATGTTTTGCTTTTTGATTCTCCTCCAGCAGAGTAGAGAAGATGTTCTAATCAGAAGACAGAGGGACCATGAAGGTTTTTCCAGAGTCGCGGCGGAGGATTCCTGAAAAAGTTATGGAAAGTTGATTCCTTTTCCAATCCTCTCCCTTTTATACATGTAGAACAAAATACAAGCTATATCATATAAAATCTATCCACGGTGACTTATAAAAAGTTTGCGACATGTGACAGGCGGCTCATAAATGAAATGGTGGCATATGTCAATCCTTAATGTCGGCCTTGACTTTTGTGTTCTTATAGTTACGAGGATTGCCTACCAAATGAACTAAGATGATAAATCTAATTAGTAAATTCACAACATAGAATCATCAAACCAGTTTGGAGAGCCATTTCAGCAAGTCAATTTAACAGGTTAGCTAGTATAAAATAATTGGCAGATTGGTGACTAAGGTTGGCAGATCGCCTTAGCAGGTCACTCCAATGAATGCCGTGTCTTCTGAGTTGATTAGTCCATAAAAATCAAATTCATGTATCCATTCAACTGTGAATTTAGCCAATTCTATGCAAGAAAAACAATTTCAGAGTTGGAGAGAGCTGGTAAAGAAATCAGTTTACAACTAAACCAGTTGAACAATCTGATCCGATCCGATTTGCTTTTAAAATCATATTCCTAATAGACTGCATGATGAAACTAGAAACCAGAGCTCTAATACGTTGACATGCAGTGAAGATGGCAATTTCATATGAAATTTCTTACAGAAACACCTACAAGGAAATGTCGTATCATCATTCATTCCGACATCAAAATGTACAAATTGTTATCACTAATGGAATTATGTCATCAGATTATAAATCTCAATAGAAAATAAACGGAACAAAGCTTTCCATAATCATTTGACATTTCAGTGACTGTCATGTCCAATGCATTTTGCATTTATTTATGTTGAATTTTCAAATAACCAATAAATTTAACCTCATGGTTCAGCGAATCTTGTTCAGCAGTATAATATGACTGCCCATGCTCCATATTTTCCAGAGTAGTTCAACATGATTTTTTTTTTAAAAGTGAAATAAAATAAATAAAATTATTCTGCTCATACTTATCATAAAAGTTTCAACTTCTGCGTTCATTATGATCTTCAAATGTTCTTGATGATCGAAGGAAATCAAGTTTATTCATAAATATCTGAAGCCTGCGAGCATCAAATTCTTCATATCCATCCATCTGCCACACAAAAAATTTGTATCAGTATCACGTAATCATTATAGAGATGCAGTTGGCTGAGGTAGTTGGCTTTTCTCTGTCATCCTATTTGCTTTTGACAGCCGAGATTGAATTCAACCAAATCAAAAGAATAAGGATGATTTACATAAATATCCCTCAATTCTTATGTGTTTACATAACTAACATGTAAACTTCAAATTTTTGCATATATGCCACTTCACCTATACATGAAAAAGTGTACAGTATCTTCTAAAAGTTAAAATAATAATTTTGATGTGATATCAAAGATTTAGGCGGCATGAATGTAAAAGGCAGAGTGTTGGTGTTAGATATGTAAATTGATAAGAATTGGGTGGTGTGTATGAAAATGCCCAAAAAATTTTAACAAAAAATTTGAAGATTCAATCTCAACAATTCATAATAAATTAAGCGGTTTCAATACCTGATGAAGATGATCGATTGTGATTCCTGTTTGATCAACACGAAGTATTTCCAGTTTTGTGCACATTGTAAACAAGTTTGAAGGAATTGAATTTAGGCCATAATTGTTATTCAGTCGCAAAATCTGTAAAAGAAAAATGTCAGCTTTCGGGCAGCGAGAAGCTAAAGCAGCAAATCACAAATGAAATATAAGGATTAATGCAACTAAAATGAAGAAATAGCAATGTGGTAATTAGCTGCAACAAAACAAATACAGTAAATTCAGTGGGCATCAGATGAAAATTCAAATTTTGAATGATAGTTGAAGTACTAAATAAAATTTACTAAGGTCGTGCTTCCGATCATTTTTATTTTTGTTTTTGCTTTTATTTTCAAAGCATGTTGTTTAGTACATTTTATTGCATATTTTTATCTTTTATTTTCAAAACCAAATTAGTCCGTCTTTAAAAACATTCAAAAAATCTAAAAATTATTTTGAGTGTCTTTAAAAATAACTAAACAGGTTATATCATATCAAATATAGTTTATTTTAAATAAGAAAATAAACAAAATAAAATAAAAAAATAAAAAAAACAAAAATTAAAAGTGATCTCAAATGGCCCCTAAATACAAATCTAAATTAGTCCAAACAACACTATATTTAAAAATGGAATTTGATTTACATGTGGCAAAAAGTGTTAGATATGGCTCATATCTAGGGAGTTGGAGTTTCTTTTGAAGAGGCGTGTCTCCTGGTGAAAAGGAGTGTCTCTTGGAATAAAGGGGGTTGGGAGGAGCGAGGGCGTGATTGTAATTTTATCCGAGGGTTAGTATATGTCTATTTATATGTGAAAACCTATGGGATGTATCTTTAACTTCTCTGAAATAGTGAAACCGCCGCTCGCTCCCGAGGACGTAGGCAATTCTTTGCCGAACCTCGTTAAATCTCTGTGTTCTTCTTCTGATTTGTGTCGATTCCTATTTTTATTCCGCTAATTTCACAACAATTGGTATCAGAGCCTTTTTCGAGGGGAACAGGGGAACAGGAGGAGACTGGCACAGAAAGAAGGAAGAAGAAGAGGATCGCGGCGAATTGGAAGATTTGCGACGCGATCGTACCAGGCAAAGGAGTTGCGACGACGAGGAGTTCGGCGGCAGTGCGACAGTTCGCGCGGGAGTTCGCACGGCAGTTTGGCGGTTTTGCGACAGTTCCTACATAGGCGAAGGATTTCGGGATTCACGGCAGACGCAGAAGAGTCGCGGCAAGGAGGAGTCCAGCGAAAGCGAAGTTTTCGCGGTTCTGGGACGGGAAGAGTTCGCGAATCGTCGCTTGCGGGGCGGAAGGAGTTCCCGCCGGAGTTCTGGCCGCAACATCGCGAGCGGAGGCGTGGACAGAGGAGTCGCGAGTCGCGAAGGTGCGCGACGCAGAGGAGGCTTCGGACGACTTCGTTCGCGACTCTCCTCGCTTCGCTCGGTTTCGCTAAGGTGGGAAGGAGAAAGAGTCCGCGGAGGCGCTCCAGAAGGAGTCGAGCAGTACTTCTGTCGCGGGAGCAGGTTCCGGAAGGAGTTCGCCGGTTCCGGACAGGATCTGCGAGGTTCCAGAGGCAGTTTTGCGATCGCGAAGGGGGAAGAGGCGCAAGGTTCGTCTTGCAGGAAACAGAGGAGTTCGACAGGTTCAACAATCCGTGGGAAACAAAGGCTGAACAGATACTGTCCACCGCGAACAGGAGCCTTGTTTTGCGGAAAATCTGAGAAATTTGACCAGTTAAATTTATCGGTCCATCGCAGAAGATTTTGCGACAGGTGGAGTTCGGCAGGGTGCAGGAGGCGAGTAGACACGATTATTTCGTGAACAGGAGTTTCGTGGAGGTATTCCTCGAACAAGTGCGAAGGGATTCGTGGCTCGCAGAAACAGCAATTGGCCGAGGTACTGGTACGAACAGGGAAAGTGCTTCGTGGGAAAATTTGATTCACGAATCACAGGAGAATCGCGGGATAGTTGTTGCATTTGACAAAGAAAAATTCAGGTTTCTTTGAATTTATTTGCGGAGTATTTTCTTTTGTTTTTCTAAGCAAAGAAGGAAAATACGGTGCATGATTAAAGTTCAAATAGCAATGTCTGGGGCAAAATTCGAGATAGTGAAGTTCGATGGAACCGGGAACTTCGGATTGTGGCAAACAAGGGTAAAAGATTTGTTGGCACAACAGGGAATTTTGAAGGCTTTGCGGGTTACGAAACCTGATAATATGGAAGATGAAGATTGGGAAGAGTTACAACTTCGAGCGGCAGGTACCATACGTTTATGTCTCGCAGATGAGATTATGTATCATGTTATGAATCTGAAATCTCCAGGAGAAGTATGGAAGAAATTG